CTCGACTCACGCTATTGTCGCTTCCACGAACGCGGTTGGTTCGAGTTATTTCGGATTTCTGCTACGACCTCGATACCTTAAAGATACACTTACACGTGCGATAAAAAATCAATTGTGGTTTACTTATTTATGTTTGATAAAAAAATTTTTGACTTGAATTTTTTTTAAATATAATATAAAAAATGTGTCGGTTTTTTTATTCAAAGTAAATTGTAAAAAAATGTGTGCTAAATTTGGCGAATATTTAACAATATCTCGAATCGAAGGAACCATTTTTTTACCTTTTCTGAAGAGCAGAATTAAATTTCTGGAGATGCAAATGTATTACTCCGATATTTTTCCTCAATTTGCGATGTAAAATTATATGTATTTACGTATGTATGTGTATGTAAGTCTATTCATTAAGCGTACCTTTTTTAATTATTCTATAAAATTTCCTTATTTTTTGTCAAGTCAAAGTTTGAAATGTAGCACAGAGAAAATTGCAAATTTAAGTGCATCATTAGATGTAAACACGGCATTAAGTGTACAGTGAGGTAACAGCGATTATTCCATTTCCTTCGTAAAACGACAATCGCGCTGCTCGCAGAATACACCTTTACTCTCGCGATTATCTTTTCAGTTTTGCATACAAACACGCTTAAATATTTAATCAGTAGTATATTAACAACATGTTTACCACTTCGCAAATTCACTAAGCAAACCGCTTGCTGTCAAATAGTATTATATTTTTGCGAAGCTTTGTGACTTGCAAATCATTAGTACAATTATTACATATATGTATATTCTTACTTCAGTAATAATCTGCTTTTGCAAGAAGATTATAATATAATAATATAACAATAAAATGATAATACATAATGTCGGGGCGGAAAATGCACTCTCGATAGAGGCAGAGGAAAATCAAAGCAAATTGGAAAACACGCGCGGAGAAGAGAACACTCGAGAAGAGGCCGTCGTATCGTCGGGAATTCGCGAACGCGCAATCCGCCGTTTAGCCTTCGCGCCAGGCTGAAAATAAACGCGACAACTCACTCGCTCTCGTCTCTCTTTCGTTGCTCTCGCTCCTTTCCTGCTCTTTCAGAGTTCGCGCATGTCGTCGTTTATCGGCGTTTCTCTGCCACCTCCTTCCACGATTTGCGTTACACCGCTGCTTGCGCGATACACTGACGTATCGTTGATTTCTCGCGTCAAATTTCTCTCGCGGAATTTTACGTTGCTTTATTTGCGTTTATCTTTATGGAACTTTATAAAGTTTTATGGGTTCCTCCGCGATCGGTAAAACGTCGATGTGTCAGTCAACATTAAAATCCTTTGTACGCTTCTCCTGCGATCAAATGAAACGGAGCGAGTTTTATTTTAACAGAATTTTAACTCGATACTCGATCACGAAAGATATTTAATGAGAAAATTGTGACGGAAAACAGATAACGTATAAATTTTCATCGAACAAAAATCGGCTCGAAAAATTAAGCCGGAGGACGCTGGCGAGCATAAAGTCTAGCGAATCCCGTTGTAATTCGTTCTTTTAACTGGAAACGATACGTGTTTCTTGATGCATGGCACTCACGGTCTAAAATGGACGTCGTCAGTCCTAGTTCGTGTTAACCGGAACGTTCTTCTCCCTCTCTTTAGCGCTCGCTGAGTGGTTAACGAAGTCCGCCGCGTCGAATTCGCCACACGTACAGCACGTGCGTGAGCGTTGAGCTTATATCTGTGTGTAAGCGTGCCGTGCGGGCTCTCACGCGTGTTCGCTCGCACGGGCGAGCGGCTCTTTAAAGCACACACGAGAGACTGACATTGTGCGAGAGAGATGGATGGTTCTTTATTACTTTGGTAGACTTTACTCTGTCTTTGGAGACGCTCCAAATAAGAAATCGTGCCGTGAATTCCGTCGCGCTTGATTCAATGTAGAAATTTCGCGGATGTAAGAAGAGATTGTAACGCAGTGTGCACGCATATCTCGATACAAAGGCTCTTCGGATGTGACAATCGACAATTTCGAGCAAATTTATGAGTTAAAACATTCTCGGAACTTTTTCTATCACTTACTATAACTTTTATTATCACGATTCAGAAAATACCGTTCCGAAATGTTGTCGTTGGCATTTTTACAATTCAGTTTTCGACCACCTTTCACTAATCTTGTGTTTACTCGTCGCGAATTCAGGAGGGGGGCAGGTGTACGTTATGCAATTTATTTATCTCGTACAAATTTGCTTTATCTGGCGCAATGTCGCTTTTTTATGCGACCAAAATCGACTACTTCCTTTCACATCGTCTCCTCCCCGTCCCGATCGCCAGAAGGAAAATGATCGCACATTAAATCGTCGTGTTATTTGACTTCGAACGTCACGCTGACGTCTGCGCGTGCGACCAAGCCGAGTTCCTTCGTAGAAGCGTCATACATTTCATCACACGGTCGTGTCGTAACCGGCTCTCCTTATCGCCAAGCTCCATTTTCACTACACTGTACACTACGTGAAAACAAGATTGTTTCCATCGTTGTTGAACCTCGCGCGGCAATATTATCACACGCGATATTTCAAACACTATATTATGTTTTTATATTTTAATTTTTTGTTTCGCTTCTTTCCGTTTGCGAACTTGTGAAAACATCTTGCTTGCGCATCATTCACGGTCTTTGTGCTCAGTTTCCAGTTTTATGCAACGTATATGAGCGAAATCAAGCATGTTGAACGCCAATAGTCAATATAGTTTTGAACAATTTAAGGTACTCCATTAATTTGTGACATCTTCTTTAGTTCTATTTTTATTCCGCATTTTCCGGTCAACTTTTTATAGTCGAGTTATTTCGTCTGCTCTAAATTATATCGCGACAAAATACCATCGAAGGGGTTGCAAGGGGCTCGCGGTACATGAGCTCGTTCGACGTTTACAAAGTAGCGAACCAAGCGGAAAGAGCCGCGCAACGCGCTTGATGTCCCTCGTAAAACATGGCCACGATGTTTTATTGGCCGACCGAGAAGACGATCCCTACGTGGTGGGTGGGGTCGATAACGCAATAATCCTTTATCGCGCAATTGAAAAGGACAGAGGGGCGTTGGGGGGAGGGGGGAGGGAGAGCGGAAGGATATTCTTTGGTCGGCGAACAGCTCGGGAACGATGACGTTTTTACGGACCGGCGACATAAATCGACTTGCTCGTGAGTCGGATAAGGAGCACTGAAAACGTTTTTACCCGCTCGAAGCACCACTAGTGATTCTTTTGAACGGTAGTTTCCTTCCCCTTTGCACCTTTTGTCTCCGCGGGATTTCGTGGAAAAAGGTCAGGAGGATAAGGATAAAAGATCGCAGTGTAAAACACTGGAATAACAGGCCCGACCGGCACGATGTTGACTCTTAACTCTAATTGTAGGAAGATATGCTTATGAAGAGAGAAAGAGAGGGACGTCGTATATATAAATAAGTAATATAAATATCTGGAAGACTAAAGAAATTTACTTTCAAAATTATCATCAGCGCGAAATTTATGATCTGGGACGAATACAAAAGTAGTAAACACTCCGAGAAAAGGAAATCATAAATTAAAAATTCCATTTCCGCTTTTTATTGTCATTCTCATTAAAAGTGCAAATTGTTCGAAAAATAGCGATTTGCAATTAAAATACAATTTAAAATTTCCACGCATTATATTTGATTAATTTCTTTAATATCATCACAATATTAAAAAAAAAAGATTTGGACAATAATATTTTGACATGTAAAAGCAAGGAGCGATTTGTTGTAAGAGCAGCGCGTCAGCTTGTTGACGAATGTCGAAGGTATTTCCAGCTGCGAGAGCGCGGGGCCGATAAATCGCGTCGAACAGAAGCAAATCGCGGCATCCGTCGATGAAAACAGCGATAGTCGAGGCCGCTCTATTACGTGTAATCCGGGATTTAAAGCCAAGACGATGGATCGAGACGGATTAGAAACTCGGAGTAATAGATGTCGAACGGATCGGCGAAGAAGAGGCGCGTGGTTAAGGCAGATCAAGTGAGATTTTCGATTTGTGGTTTCGTTCGTTTAATCACTGCTTATTCTTTTCTCTCTGAATTTTATCTTCAGACTTCTTTACGCGCTCGCAGATATGTATAGTACATACTTTTATTTATTTGTCGCTTTTGCGGAACTTTTATAAAAGTAACAGAACTATTATAATTGAAACACTCTCTTTTTATCTTTATACAATGCACAGCTATATCACGCGTATTAATGTGTTTATATTATATCGTTAAATTATTAAATTATCGATTATCGTATATTTTGCTTTGGTCTCTGGAGGGCTTGTTAGAGCAACAGTGGACGCTAATTTCCTCCCCCTCTCTCTTTCTTTCTCTCTAGCTTTCGTATATTTCCATCTCTCTTCTTATCGGCGAATTGCGAATCGCAGCTGGCGAGGGCCGCTTTAAATCATCCCTTTCTCATTACCATTTCAAATGGGTCGCGATTAACGCGAATTAATTATCTACGATGGCAATATTCCGCCTCCAGGGCGGACCGGAACGCCACGCCGCCGCTGCTAAACGTTCATTCAACGAGCAGAAAAAATCCACCTCGAGGTACATTCACCATCACCGATATTGAAAAAATATCGGCTAATTCGGCTGCTACTACGTAGGCCATGAAAGAGACGCGAGTTAATCCTCGAAGGATTAAATCGATCGCGACGCTCTTGTTCGTCGCGAATTGAAAGCGCCGTTGGAAAATCGCCGCCACTTAAAAGTATCTTAATCGAATACAATAAAACTTCACCTTGCGCTCTCGCGATAAGAATAACGGATCGTAGTAATCATAATTAATACGATAATAGATTTTTCACCTTCAAAATTACTATTTCAAATAACTTTACTTTTGAACGGATGTTAAAATATAAAGTTTAAAAAATCAAAATTCAAGTACATTATTCTTTAAGTTTGTTATTTTTATCAATAGTATTAAAACATCGCAACAGGTATTTTCGAAAAATTAACCCCATATGTATTGTTAATATATTAGAAAATCGCAAATGAAGATGGATAAATTAATGGGACGACACACCGCCCAAAACCGAGCTGAAGCCGAGCTTAACGTTCACAGTGCGAACAGGTACGGATTATGTTATCACCTACATGTCTACATCTGACTATCATGCGCACGAGCAACAATACCGGGCGCAAGAATCGATAGGAAAAATAGCGGACGTCGAACTCGAAAAGGCAGTCGATTTCATTGTGAGAGCGAACGGTGATTTCGATAGGCAACTCTCCATAGACGCCACCATCGACGTCTGATTGTACCGGACTGTTAATCGAACATTTTTGAAAACTGTCCGATCCATTCCTCGCACGGGGCCATCCGGGGTTTCGATCGCGCAAATAGCCGACAGAGAGGACGGTGCCTCTTGTCGAGTGCGCTTCGGGTTCGTTAGCTCGATGAACTTCGATCGTTCTGTGACAAGGTTCCTAGACATTCAATAAAGCCGAGTCGACGAGCCGACCGACGTGGAGTCTCTCTCGCGTGCTCTCGGGATAGAAATGCTTGGTTTTGCTGCGCGAAAAAAGAGCGAGTTCAAAGAGAACTTTCACCCTCTTTTAATCCTTGTATTTTCTCGTTTTTTTTCTCATCAAAATGTTGAATTAATATCATTGAATTAATTGCAATCAATAAATGTTGAAAGATCGAGAAATCAGCACTGAACTCCGCTCTAGACACGTCCGACAATTTCGAAGCTAAAAGAGATCTTGGAAAAGTACATCGTAATCATCTTAATGACGAGGAAAAAAAAAAATTTATTCGCTTATAAGATGCACTCATTGCACAAATCTGTTTCGCACTTTTTTCTCGGTTCAGTCTGCGATTAGCGGCGAGCGACTTAACGCGAGCGAGCGGTCGCGGTTTTTCTGGCATCGATTTAGTTAAAAGTATACTTTCTAGCTGATTTAGCGAAGCATGAAGCGGCGCGGGGAGGAGAAAAAAGAAGGAGCCCGACGACACGCAGTGGACGTCGAGGTATCGATCGAGAAAGTGTCACGCGCGCGACGCGACGATGAGGCTGCGTTCGGCCGTGGAAATACTCGTGCGGCTAAATGTGGCGATTCACGTGTGCGCGGAAAGTCTCCGCCGATAACAATGGGAATAAACGCGCGAATAGGACAAGCGTACTCGAAAACAAATAGAGTCGTTCTTAGAGCTTCGACGGTCGATTGTGCCACGAGAAATTACCGTGTCATTCACATGCACGGCCAGGGGCGTCAGATATTTCTTACCGTCATGAATAATAAGCAGCTTTGAGTTAATAAAAAGAAAGTACGTCGCGACGAAGAAAACACACTTGCGAAAATGAATGTTCTGCTGTCTCTTTGTTTTACACACATTGCAGTCGCCATGTTACACGTCGCATATGACGCGCTCTCAAAATTTGTTCGATGAAAGGGCGACGCATTGTACAACATTGTATAATAGGAATTTATACTAATAACACCGAAACATCTGTCGGATGTGGTAAAAGCGAAAGTTCACGCGCGGTTCTTCCCGGAGTCGGGAATAATTCGGGAGCGAAAGGGTTGAATACGATGTAGTTTCTTTACCATTCATCCGCAATTAAGCGGTCGCGAACAGTGATTACTGCCGGTACGTTTAATTTGCATGACAATGCAGGCTGTTCGTTCGTTCGTCGGCATGCACACACGTTTTCCCCCATCGAGCGCGCTTCGATCAAGAAAGTATCGCACGATATGCGGATTGAGCTTCGGGAAATCGACTCTTAATCGGAATACGTGCTTTGCTCTATACGAAAGCCAGGCTTGGGCGGGAAAATGGCTTTGCCGTCGTTATTTAAGCTGCGAACGTTCGCGCTATGAATTGTCGGGCTCAGACGAAAAAATTACTGTTTTTTTTCGCACTTTGCAAGTGTTTTAAGAAATGCCGCTGAAGCTTTGACGACGATATCGGTGGAATAGCTTTTTTCTCTAAAAGATAATTTTTTTTAAATATATGCAATGACGATATATGGCATTAATAATTACAACGGGTAATTAAATCTTTTTAAACATTTTTTGCGCGTGAATAATTCTATATTTCAAATCTTTGATCTTATTTGACGCTAAGTAATTTATTATTTATATCTCCATTTCTTAATGCCTTGCGACTCGGTAATTTACTCGGCAATTTATTCACTTATCGCTACATGAGCTCGTGATCTTTTGTACTTCACATAATACGCGATTATATTTCTTCCCTTTCTTCGCGATACACAACGTCGGTGTTCCTCGTCATACTTTGTGTACACACTGAAAAATATTTTCCGATCGTACGCTTACGATATCTCGTGCGCCGTATTTTTGCGGAGAAAAGTTTTCTATCTTGATGAAAAACAACCGAGCTCTCGTATCATGCGCGCGCGTCACTTATGTTAATGCATTCGGGAAAACGCTGCAATGACCGTTAAGTATATCACTGCGTGCGGCATTAGCATCATGCCTTGACAAGTCATCCAACGTCATGTCAGATAACGCACATACGAGGAGGAAAATACCGTCCTGACCGACCTTTAAGCGTCTATTTAAAGCACTCTTCGCCCCATGCTGGCTACGTTGATCGCGTTACGCATTGTGCGAGTTAAAACGTAAAAATTCACAGTCTTGAAAAAATCATTGCATTTGTGAAATACACGCTCTCTCATCCATTGATTCACAAATTATTAAATATTTATGCACTTTTTTAGATTTTTAGTTGCAAAAGATACAATTTTTAGATATAAAAATCCGTAGATTTTCTAGCTTCAACTATTAACTACTTCGTAACAACCGCTTTTGCCTGTGAATGACGGCGGTTACAAAATCGTAGCGCTTTGTTTGTTTTGCACGTAACATCGCGGAACACCGGAAACGTGACTAAACAGGTGTTTGCGCCAGCTGCGACCGCCCTCGCTATGCTTCGTCACGAATCCCTTCTGTCCGCGTCTCCGTCTTCGTCTTGTCTTAACTATCCGCCGTCGGTAGATGCACTTCCTAAAACGTTGCGAGTTATTCTCAGCGGTGCGTCATAAGCAACGAAATTCCACGTGAATGCGCTTTCGAAAGACAAAGGCATTTTCTGTTCTGGTTAACCGATCGCCTAATAGCGATAGACGAACGTGTAGCCTGATAACAACGGATTGCAATCTCGAAAAATTGATCAGATCAAAATGACGAGTAATCAATTTACTGTTTCCTTTTGCCTTATTTAGAAATAAGTTGCCGTGGAAAAAGCGGATCTTTCGTTTTGCGAACACGTCGGTAATTTCGATGGACTAATTTTGTTTTACAGCATTGAACGGGACCGGCTTCGGGAGCGAGATCGCCAAGCCCGCGCGGCGATGTCGGTCCAGGCGGAGCAGGCGGCTGCGGGTGGCGGTCCTGATACGAGACATCATCATCACCACCACCATAACCACGTGCATCACCATCATCCGAACCATCATGTCACCCCACCGAACCTCTTTCGCGCTCCCGTCAGGGTGAGTACATTTTCCATTTATTCTCTTTTATTCCAAAATGTCTTTCCACTGTGCACACTTTCGCGCGCGCGCGCGCGCTCCCGTTATTATCGATCGACTTTTATATCTGGAATATCTGGCAAATATTGATTCGAAGATGAAATGGATATCTTCATCCCAATTGCACTATTTTTAACAAAATGAAAATATGTTCTCGGTTTAGGTGATAGCCTTTAAATATCGTTGGTTAGATAACCTTTAAATATCACCGTTTCTTATCGCCGGATTCTTTTGCGTTGATTTTGCAATGATTAGCATTTTTAATATATAACTACGTGAGCGACGCAAGTCAATCTAACTAATGTCGCGCTGCGCGTGAGTGGGCGTATCATTTCATAAACTCTCGCCGACTTTAGTTTTAATAGAAAGATTAAACTGATGTTTTTAAAAGGCATAGCTTTTTTTAGAACTTGCGTAGAACTCGAAAGTTCTTGAAAAGAATCTAACACAAGCATATAAGAATTTTTTCGAGATAAATTAAGAGGCGGCATAAATCAAGTCTTTTTTTTTTTTTTTTAATTTAACGATCAGAATTATTTTTTTGTCTATCAGAAACTATAGGATCGTCAAAATTGAGGATAGCATTCTCAATACTTTATGAGATTCACGGAATGATACGTTATGTTTACCGCACAGCACCGTGATAAAGTATTCTCACGAATGGAAATTAAAACAGCTACCATCCACTGGCTATTAATTTATTACCACTTTTTTCGATAACACTTTTTTTTTCTCTCGATGCGGAGGACAGCATCGTGCGTCAGTTAAATTGATGTACCAAACATTTCGCGGTTTTTTTTTTTTTTTTTTGTTCCGCCGAGATGACGCCAAAAATGTTTCTGTACGGGGAAATGAAAGTAGCGATGAATATTGACTTGTCGATCAATTTTGCCGCGCACGATTGCATCTCGTCGTGTGCATTTAACATCAGTTCTAAAACGAGCGCTGGTCTATTTTTCCTATGAAATGACGTTTTATTAAGCGCGATTATTCGCCGGCTATTCGCGACGGCTGCGAAATCGCAAATAACAATTAACAAGCGCGCGAGAAGCGAGAAAATCTGGCTTACGTCCATTCCTTATCGCTCATCTTTATTCAGACTCTCGATCTCACGTTGTCCGATCGCTTAATGGATCTTTCTCTCGCGCGTTTTAAGGGCCATTTGTCGCGTCTTTTCACTTCCGTCTAGTTACCGAACGGAAGGCACTTCGCCAAGTAGATTCGCTGACCGCTTCAATTAACGTTAACCGATAACCTTTCGTTCTCTTCTCGCTCTGTATATAAATCCACCGTGATTCGCGGCGCTTAATGAATTTGCTCTCAATCATAACCATTAACGTTATTCGCTTTAAATGTGAACAAGTCGGATCGCCAGCAATTATTCTCGCTTTTTGGTTTTTAACATACTATTAATACTAGCGAAGTACGCAGATAAAAATCGCGAGTTTTAAAAATAATAAAAATTGGATTAAAAGGACACATTTCCCGATATCGATACGTGAAAAGTCTCAATTAATCGTTCAAGTTTTAAGATTCAGCTACGTAATTATCGTGCAATTTAATCGGAATACTATTGCATTTCGCGGAAGTCTCTGCGAGCAGAAACACGAATATCACTTCTCTTGTTCGCTAAGAATTTATAACTTCCTGATTCCATAATTCTTCCGTGACTTGGAAAAAAAAAAGGAACGAGTAATATAATTACCTCTCGTGCACTGAGATTCTTCGACCTCAAAAACTTTAATTTGATCTTTGCGACAATCGTTGTTATTTATAACAATGCCTGTCGTGACTTTATATTATTCGTTATGAATTATTTAGCGTTTTATATTGCGCGCAATTGTGGGCGGCTCGCTGCATTCGCTATAAAGGGCATTTGGCGCTACCTTTAAACTTTCTTTCCACGCGTCCGTCCTTCCGATTGTGGAATATTTTACGCAAGTAACATATCCACGATCCTTGAAGCTTTTCGAGTTCAATCCTGAATCTGGCGCGGCAGTTGCCTTAACGCAAACCTCATATGGCCGTTATAGCGAAGTCAAAGACCCATTGGGTCTTTCCCGTCGATCGTAAACATAACCTTCTTCTCGCTTCTCTTCAGCCTCCCTCACTTTCACCCTCCGGTTTTACCCGCGCTGTTCTCCTGCGGGATTGCTCCTGGCGAAATTTATTCCTAATTTACGATGCTATAACTAGAAAACGAATAATCTCTTTTTTTCGAACATCGTGCTGTAGACAAAATTTAAAAGTCAGCTCCTTTCGCTTTTTAAGTTATTATTATGAGAAAAGATTGCTCTTCGAAGATTGTGTCTGCCGATTCGACAGTCTTTTATTTTTCAAAGCAATTCTGGATATTTGAATTCCATGGCCAGTGGATACACTTAAATCTAGTTAAAATTCGTCTTACGGGATAGTCGCTCTTGAGAGTAAAATTAGCCTTTTCACATCGAGAAGCAGCTGTATTAAAGCGACGGTGAAAGCATTAATTGATGGAACGAAATAAATTCCCGCGGTGGAATTTTCTTTGATTCGAACAACCGGTTTACGCGCGCTGCGACGCGCTTAAATGTGACATTTGAATATTAACGACTTTGAAGTCCACTGGACGTGTTTCATACGCGATAGAGACGAAAGAAAAATTCAGTTTCCTTCGGCTTGTTAAGCCGCTTAATTATATAACAGCATTCGCTCATTACGCTCGCATGTCGCCGCCCCGGCTTTAGATCGTTAATAGTATTTCTTTCGCGGGGTGCAAATAAACCCCGACTGTGCTCTGATTGGCCCTTTCGCATACTCAACAGGTGTTTTCTCGACTTTTAACCTTTCTTAATGAGTATTTACGAGAACGTTAGAGCGATCCAATTCTCTTAAACATTGCGACAGAAAGAAGATCATTAATTTTTGGTTTATTACGTTTGCTTGGAATTAGTAGGAGGATTTCACAAGTTGAATAATCAAGTGGTATGCAAGAGAAAGAGAGGGTATTAGCCGTGTAATATATTCGTTATGATTATTAATTTACTTGTTGTGACTGATGTTCTAAAATTATAATAATTATTAAAAATTGGTTGAAATGCTGCATCTCACGGTTTTGATTATCGTGCTTTCAGAAAATCAACCGTAAATATTAATAATGCATGACGAATGTATCTCATTGCTGAAACTGTGATTTTTATAAAAAATTAATTATGCATAAAATATTTTTAAGCATCCATAAATGTCGCAAAAATATCTTATTTTTTATTAATTAAAAATACGAGATGTAAAATTAAAAACTTTAAAGATAAAAAAATTATGTATTTTTTTGGTTTATCGGCCATATTGTTTTTCGGCTTCTTAATTTTATTTAACGATTTTAATAATATTATAGAATGATAAAAAGTTGACTCATCAACTCTTACAATTTTTTACTTACTTTATATACTTTATTCATATTTGTGTAGGCGTATATTTTTTACACGATTTAGTTTGTTCGCATTAGTATTTTGTTGCAACCGCATAAATCCCTTGAGACGCGGATACCTAAGTCGGATCAAAGTCGGTTTCTCTAACAATGAGAAGAAACGTGTCCTTCGTTACTTCGCTGAGACGCGGCTGCGATCGGTGCAACGTGCCAGCTCCCTAACAACCATAACTGTAACCACGCGTTAGTAACCGTACGATGAGTCGCGAAGCCGCTCGGCGTCTTCGTCGCCCAAGCGGAACGTAGAAGCAGAAACGGGAAGTTCGCGGTTCGCTCGGAAAGAGGAAGAGAGAGGGTTAGGAAAAGGAAAGCGGGAACTGGAAAGAAGGGGGGGGGGAGAAGTCGGGTTAAGAGGAAGAGGGAGAAAATGGCGCCGGTTTCTTACGAGTTCGATCAGCTTTTACGACTCCGCTTCTATCCCGCTCCTTCTTTTCTTTGATGTGAAGTGCAGTCGCGAGCGGAAAAACGGATTCCGCGACTTTTCCGCGGCGCGTCACGTAGCGCGTCTCCGGAATACCGTATCCGGCTAGTATTGTCCCGCATTCTCAATATCGGGAAACGTGATGCATTGATGCGTCACGCACGGACGACGTGAAATATCGACTGCAATCTGCGTGATTATTCACGCGAGTGTATGCGCGCGTGGGATCGTCAAAGACACAAGAATACCGTGGTTCGAATTGATTAACGCGGGAACGCGGTTTTCGGATTTCGAACGTACAGTCGGTCTAAATAACACCGAAAGCCGACGAAAAGTCCAAAAGACGTTTCAAAGAAGCTTGAAAAGCTTTTAGGAAACTAGCGTTTTTCCTGGATTCTACTGTCACAATTTATTTGACTATAAATATCGCAGATTTTTAATGGAAAATAAATATGAATTTTTCATCGTATGCGAAAAGAATCGCGATTCATTTTCAATACGCTTGCTTTTTCCCTCGTATTTTCCAGCGTACCTCTTTTGAATTTCGCTTCCTCATCGAGAGAGAATCTGTATTTCGCACTGTTATATTCTTGCGTCTATGGGGATCGTTATCCCGGTTGTCCGTCGCGAAAATTCCCCCGAGTGCGCGCGCGCGCGCGCGCGCGATAGTTTATCCCGTTCCAGCTCGATGTTTAAAGTTCGCCGAGATTAAAGCTTGCTAGTTGGGAGATTACCCGGTCGGATAAAGCGGAACGCGGATCGACCTCGGAGAGATGCTATTAGTTGTGTTGTCGTAGTCAAGTCGGAAACTACAGTGTTTAATAGCGACATTAGCGGATAACACGTGTAGAGCCTTCTGCATTTTTTTTTTTCTCGTCGACGATTGGAACAAGCAAATTAATTAACGATTAAAATAACAATATCGATAAAATATCTCGCGCGCGCGCATGAGAAAAAAAAAACATCGATTTCTGAATCCCCGAGCTCGAGAATATAACGATTTCAATCGCCGGTCTTCAATCAACATCGCAAAATGCCATTATGAGGCATTGGAATCCCGCGGATGGAGCACCTCGG